CATCTGACTGTGTAGGCATCGATGCCACAGTCGCCTAGTTTTTTTTAATGAGGATGGGGCGGTCGACAGTGTCAAAGGCCCTGCTGAAGTCCAGAAAGACTACATCCACGGCGACACCTACATCCAGTGCTTTTGTGACCTGATCGTAAAAGGCAATCAGGTTGGTCTGACATGACCTGCCCCAATGAAACCATGCTGGTTGCCCTTGAGCATCATCCCCGATGCCGGCCCATCACAGATGTGCTCCTTGATGATCTTCTCAAAGAGTTTCCCCAGGACTGAAGTAAGACTGATGGGGCTATAGTTGCCTGGGTCCTCCCTCCTCCCTTTTTTAAAGATGGGGACCACATTGGCTATCTTCCAATCATCTGGCACCTGGCCCGAGCACCACGAGCACTCGTAAAGCTGTGCCAAGGGCCCTGCAATAACCCCTGCTAGCTCCCTCAACACCCTGGGGTGAAGAGCATCTGGACCTGCTGATTTGAACACGTCCATCCCTTCCAGAAGCACTCTAACCCGGTCCTCCTCAACCTTAGGTCTGGAGGTGTTCCCCTCAATTTGTTTTGGGGTGCTCAGCCTCTGGCCCATGGAGTCATAGGTATCTGGGGTGGGGTTCTCCATGGATTAGGAAATTTGGCAGCAGGGAAGTGGTGGCAGTAAATATGGCTGCTCTCCCCTGATGCCAAAATTCCCAAACCCTGCCCAACAGCTTGGGACCAGGTAGATCACACCCCATTCCCCCACCCCTGCAAAGCTGCATGGGGCTAGGCCATGTCCCCTTTCCCCTATGGGGCCAAGTTGGGATCAGCTGAAGACCCCATGCCCCCTCTCTACCCCGCCCCCCGCAGGGTTGGGTCAAGCCTCCTTCTCTCCATGGTGCCAGGTTGGGGCTGGGCCACACCCCCTCCTTTCCCCCCTCCCCCTGTGGCCAGGTAGAAGCCCCTGGATGGGGCACGGCTATGACCACCCCATGAGGGATCAGGACCATCAGCCGGATCCAGACTGCAGACAGCCTGGGCACTGCCCATCTGGCTCCCTGGAGCACCACTGATTTATATTTTCAAACTGTCATTATAGCATTTACCAAGGAAAAGTGTGAATAAAGCTTGAGATTTTTCCTTCTATTAATTGTGGAAGGGCAGGGGGGAGTGACAAATCTCATTTAAAGACTTTATTGAAGTAGCTGTGGTAAACGATGGTGCCATTGCTTGTCTCCGTGTCTCATTGTCATAATTTAAGCCTTTTTATTAGAAGGAACCACAGAAGACAGGGTAAAGTACAACAAATCCAGAAAGAGTTGGAAACTTAGGAAAGGGGGAGAAAATAAAACAATAGGCATGGGCTGGAGAAGATGTTTGATTTATTTGTTACTAGTAGTTAAAATGACATACAAAATACAGGGAAGAAAAAATACCCCTTCAATTCTGTTCAGTTTCAAAGTAATTAGAACTTTATTTTTAAACTAAGTTTTGCTTTGTGATATAGAGCATGAAAATACTGCAGCCTTAGGTTATAGTCCATTGTTTTTGGAGTAAAGCAGGTATTTAAATACATATTGTGGCTGATATTAAATATTTGGTATAATTATAAGTCAGCAGAACTTTTGGCTTTCAATCAATAACTAGCAATTCATAAAAGTTCTTTGTATAAAATTTACATTTTTCTTTCTGGTCTGTGGGGGTTCCTTTGTGATTTAAGCATAGATAACTCACTGTTCCATTATGTACATTTTAAATTCTTGACAAATTTTGCTGCAAAACATGTTAACCTCTACAAAAATGTTAAATAAAAGAGCCCAAAATATCTGTTCACTTTCCACAGATTGTAGGGACCGAACAGCTTGTGGTGAAATCTTGGCTTTATAGAGGTCAATAGGACTTATGTCATTTACTTCATTGTAGGCCAGGATTTCACACTTAGCTGAATGTCTGTTCACTGAACAGAAACAATAACTTGTATAAAACTTCAGCAAGGTTTCAAATTGGCTTTTCTTTTTCTCCTATAAAACCAACTCAGAAAAACTCATTTAAAGGAAAACAACCCCCTTATAATATCAATGAAAAAGGCTTTGTACTAATAATAACATTAAATATCCATAACTTTCTGTTTAACTATTCACATTCCACACAGTGGAAATTTACCTCCTGTAATTCCAGATTTTAGTTTTTAAAATCCATGAAGAAATGTGTCAGAACTTCTAAGTAGGAGGATGCCAGATGCAATTTGTATATTTCAATAATATGAATCAATGAATTGCAATCTCTTACTGTTACAGATGGAGACCTTGTTGTGGATCTTACAGTAAAAATCTATTGAATGCAGAAATGTAGGATATGTATGACCAATAATTGCATGATCCATTGTGCAACAGCTGTGGCTTTTACATAAAAAGACTGCACATGGTATGATATTCCACTATGCATTTTCCCTTTCGGATAAAAATATCCATATTAATAACAGAATTGTCTTTGTTAAGGTTCAGATAGAAATACATTTGGGGTCATTGGACTGTGGATCAGTGTGACATTAGGTCTCAGACTCTCCTCTGTTATGAGGCACTAGGAATGAAGAAGCAGTTATACACATATTGGCCAATTGTGACCCAAGTGTACATTCTCTATGATTCTAAGAGGAAAGACAGCTAAATCACAGACTGTATCCTAACAGTAATCAATGCCCTACTATAGAAACCTCTTGTGTTTAACTTCTTGCTCATACTAGTGATGTACCAGCAATATCCAAATGAAGGGACTGGATGCATGTACACATAGGCTAATGCACATTATAGCACATCTTAATGCATGTTAAAGCACCACAAAAACAGTGTGCTTTTGCTAATGTGCATTAAAATACGCTAATGTGCCTTTTTCTAGTACCTCACACTGGAGGTACTAAATTTAATGCTCATTAGCAAAAGTGCATTAAAGAATGTGTAGACACGCCCACTGATACTGAAATTAATCTTATTTTAGGACCTAATCCTGAACCAATGAAGTCAGAGGGAGCAGAAATTGACCTTTAATTGATGTTAGATCAGAACTGAGGTATGCGCTTTGTTTTCCATCCAAAAGCCAAGAGGCAGGCATGTAGTTTGGTATGCTGTCTTCCTCACCTGCAAAACCAACACAAGTGAGTGCTCCAGAACAAGCCAGGAGTTAAAGCAGCAGTGCAAAGGAACTATCTACCTCTCCAACTGCCCTGGGAGCAGTGTGGATAATATTGCAAGACATTTTTGAACTCCTGAGGGCAGTGGTGCAGCTAGGGCAGGGCAACCCAGGTAGCTGCCCCAGGCATCAACTGGTTGTGGAGTGCAGAAATAAAACAGCTGCCACATGATCATATTGTGGGAACCAGAAATTGCTGCTGCCCCTGGCTGTAGCAACTGCCCCAGGCACCCACTGCAGAGTTGGGTTCTATGTTCCCTGACCTGTCCTGAGCTTCTTCCCCAAGGGAAAAAAGCAGTGATAACCTCTACAGGTAGAACACATGGAGTTTTAAGAGTTACTGGGTCCATCCTTATGGCTTTTTCCACAGCAGGGGAGCATTTAGCCCTTAATTGTCAGGAAATTCTCTTTGCTTAGTCCAAATCCTGTTTAAATGCAAGTCTGTGGTAAAGGATATAAAAAGAGGATTACTGCTGGCAAGGCTCTGCAGCTCTTTTTCAACAAACTCCATGCCTGTGGCAGAGCTAAAATAACAATAACAATGCAATGTTTACTAGTCAGGGATGTCATTTCTTTTGTCTCTTGTGCGGTTATTGCATTTGCAGTCACATGATGCTTGTTTTAATTTTTGCTTTGCTCTTTATGTGCTAAATTACTGCCATTTTGTACCTGGTGCTATCTACTGCGATTTTTGTGATATGTACATTTTCTCTGTGTGTGAGTGTGCAGATACACACAATAGAAGCCCTCAGTGTGTGTACATGTGTAAATACCCACGTGTGTAACTAGATACTTTTGAGAGAGATGTATATTACTAGCAAATTACAGACACATACATAAATATATATAAAGAACTGTTATCTGAATTACAAGACCATAAATAAATCAAGAGAGTCTAGAGACATAAGAATAGATCAGGATTGATTTAGAATGTCATTCAGAAGTGTTTTACAGCCCTATTCATAATTTCTCTTTATTTTATATATACACATGGAAATACCTATAAATTAAAGCAAGAAGTAGCAGAAGAAAAACGTTTCTTCTTTTCCCTTCATCTTTCTCTTAAGTTCCGTCACTTCCCTTTCTCTTCTACTTTTTTTCCTTGCACCTACTAATTCTTAGCCTGGTCCTTTCTAGCTCTCTGTAACTGTGTTTTCTCACTGTCTATGTCATCTTCTGGCCTACTTACCCCCTCATTCTGTCAAAACCACTTTTTTTTTCCCTTAACAAAAGACACAGATAAAATTAGTACAACCGTTATTTTCAGTCAGGTTTTACCACAGGCTGCACCCCTTTTAACATTATATTTTTATTTTCTTTAGGAATAAACTCATACTTGGGATCTTATTTCCCCCAATGTGATACTTCTTTTAATGTAGTGAAAGTAAATACTGTAGTGTCCAGTGAAGCATTTGCAAAAGCCACAGCTGCACTTTTCCCAGTGAACAGGGAGAGTGAGAGTGCTACTAAGAATCCTAATGCATGTGTGTAATATTGAACCTCTGGATTTGTAAGTTTTTAGTGGTATTTCACACCTCAATTAAAATGCAAACATTCATATTCTTTTGTATAGTCTCCCTTACTTTGCCTCTCTCACACATTCACAAACCCTTTCCTTCCCCCCTCCTATTTCTTCCCTCCCCTAAACCATGTTTTAAGTGATTCACTATAGTTCCTTTCCATTGCGTCCACCCCAGAAAATACGGTAGTTATGCCACTCACTCTTAAACTGGCACCGCCTGCCTAAGCCTAGAGTGTCACAGGTGAAATATTTAGCTCAGTCAGTCCAAATCTATAGATATGCACCGACACTCTTTGACTCGTGTGATCCTTTTCTTCTTTCTAGGGGGCTGAAGTTCAGGGCAATTGAGTGTAACTGTCATAGCGGTGAATTTCTTAGGCTTGCAGAAGGAACAGGATTGGAAAGAACCTTCCTCTTTGTGGACATGCCTTGGGATGTAGAAAGAATTGCACTGGCCATAGCAGAATCTGTTGATAATGGTACGACTGTTGCAGCCTTCTTCATGGATAGTTTGTTTGAGGGGCTGAGTTTTACACCAATCCCGCTTTAGGTATTTTCGCTCAGTGACATGTAATGCCTCCTGACTAGACTCCAGCACCTCTTCAGCTGGCATTGATGTGCCCTTTCCCCGCTCTCGGTTCCTAGAACCGGATTGCTGCTGTGTCTGTGTTTGCTCTGAATCATTGGGCTGATCCTTATCAGGAGGAGGGATGGCACCTTGAGATCCACGGTTCCTCTTTCTTCCCTCTCCTGTGGGAAACAGAAGTCCAAGCAGAAGAAGAAGAGCACCAACAGCATAGACTGTTCGGCCCATCCTATATAGAAAAAGGATGAGAAAATACAACATAACTTGTAGATTTCATATAAAATCTATAAAAATAAAGAATTCAATATGTTTTCCGTTCTGAGGAAAAGGTATACCAAAGAAGTCATCTTCCCAGTTGTTCACAGCTGGAGACATACTTTGGAATTATGTGGAGTTGTACAGACCTATAAAATGAATTCACAGGCAAAACTAAATAAGGCCTTGTACAGACTTTCAATTTCTCCTGGGAGTCACTGCTCTCCCAGAAGAAACCATGAGTGTACAGATGTTCAGACTTTTTTTCCCCTCAGAGTAAAAGTGGCCAGTGCAGGAGAAAAACAACCTGAGTACAGTTAGGATGAAATTACTTCTAGGAGAGTTTTTCCTGGGCAAGTGAATGTCTGTACAGGCTGACAACACAGGCTCACCATGGTCCGTCTGGATTAGCCAATAGGGGATGCCCTATGCACTGCTGTCATCAGTTGCCAGGCAGACTAAGGGAATCTGCAGAATATACCAAGATGTGCACACAGGCCTTCCCTCCTCCCCCCCCAGCTGCACAGTGTCAGCACTGTAAGCTCTCCACTCTTCAGGGCCTCAGCATTTGAATGTCTACACATGTGGCTCTGAATAAGTTTTTCTACCATTAGAACAAACCTGGGAGAAGGTTCTCTCAGGTTATGTGTGTGTGTGTATGCAGCCTAAGTCTAATTTGGAAAGAGTCTAATTTTCTGTTGCAAACATCTTTTTCCACTCCTTTTCCCCAGGCATATTATGCTAATTAAGGAGCCTGATTCTCCTACATAATTTTGACATTGATGGAGTTAATTTACACTAGAAAGGCGCTTGTACCAACCCAGTCTCCAGTACACAGCATCTCTGCATTTGGCCAGCTGAAGCTCAACGTAACAAAGTCAAGGTAGAAACCTGCATACCATGAAAGGCAGCTAATGCAACCAAATAAAAAAAAAAAAAAAAAAAAAAATAGGGCAATCTCTCTCAAAGTATACTTTCTCCCAGGTTCTTCTGGCTTCTTGGCATGTTATACAAAGAAACTCCTTTATACAATAATAAAAAAGTCTATACACCTCTAAATTTTAGTCAGTACATTTATATAATGTGGCACTCTTATAAATGAAGACTGTTATGCCTTCCATCATTTACATCAGTCCTAAAGGTGTACTTTATCTAATTTTTCCAAGCAGGTGGATCAGATGTGGACACTAAACCTTACTTGAACTAGATCCGTTTCACCATCCACCCATAAAAAGAAATTCAGCAGCTCTCTCTCTCTCTCATCTTCCAAGGATCCACAAGCTTAGCATTCCCTGTATTAGATCACAAATTGAAGGATGTGCCAACAACCTGGGACTTGTTTGAGTTGCAGGACAGAAGAGTTTGAAAGAGGCCCTGAGAAGTCAGAAAATGCTTCCACAAAAGACACAAGCATAAAAATTGCTAAAAAGAAAAAAGATGCTGGAACTTGGAGAGGAGAGCACAGGTTGCAGAGAAGAAGAGTTTGGAAGCTGCAACAGGAAGCCATTCTGTTTGAATATGGCTGGACTGGTAACATCTCTGTAAATAATTTTCTTAATAAAGAACAGATTAGTATTAGAAACACAAAGTCCTGTTCATGTTATTAGACAGCAAGAGAGGGTACACCCCAGTGATGTTCATTCTACTTGCCCTGCCTGAAGCCAAAGTAGGTCAAACAAAAAACCCAACACACGTCTACATTATAAGAGTTATCTTGACAGCCATGAAAAGGTAAAGGCTGAGTATCACTGCCAGAAAATATGTATATTAGTTTCCTAGTTACTGGAACTTTTCAAACACGTGGAAAGCATTTGTTTTAATGTTCACTAACCACCCTGCTCAAGGAACAAAGGGACTGGGAATAGTATCCCTATATTACTTTGTTTGGGAAATATAATAATATAGTAATCCCTATATTACTTTGTTTGGGAAAGTGCCATAGAAAGTCTGAATTTATTTAAACTTGTTTGGTTAAATAATCCTATTATTTTATTTTAAGTGTTAGTGTACAATGAATTTCGGATAGGCACAGTGAAGAAGTATATTCATTGAGGTTTATGTTTCAGTCTGTGCTTGTATTTGAAAGGAGATTTGTACATAAATAGACAGATATACTACCAAATATAACATTATTACTGGATCCTAAGGAAAATGTGGAAGGGCTGTTTTCTATATTTAACTACAATATTAAATATTCCGTTTAATCATTCAAGTTTAATAACCTTAAGGCTCCGAGACAAACCAAGAAAAAAGTTGGGAATTCCAATTGAAGGCTAACCCTGCCTAATTTCAAGTGCTAGCTTGGACTTCACATTTCTTGACTTTCTTCAGTTTCTATTACAACCTTAATGTTATTTAAACAAGTTTTGTCTTTAAAATACTTTTTGAAAACTGAAACACTCATTTTCTCAGGAGACTAGAATGACTCCATCCAAGTCTACTCCCATCTCTTGGGAGACTGTATACCCACACTGTATTTAGAAAACATTTAATATGCATGATATTTATTCAACGTGGTGCCAGAGCCTTAACAAAAACCAAGGCATTGCCTGCAATAGAAAAAAAAAAAAAAAAGCTAGTTCCTAAGCAGCACCAGGAAAATACAGGTATTTGCTTAGTGCTACATACTTCCATTAATTTTAGTAGTGCCAGAATAGACCCAGAGTATCATATTTATATTTAAAATCTGTAATTTATATTTCACCATATTTCTTTAAGACACTGTTAATGATAATTCCAGTTTGTCCTGCAGGGCCAAATCCTGCAAATATTTGCTACCACGTGTAGTCAGTTACTTCAGTGGGATTGTTCACAGTTGTGAATGCTATGGTCTGGAATCAGGAAAGCATCTTAATTCAGAAAAGCACTCAAACTAGTGTTCAATGTAAGGTAATATAAGTGCTGACCTGATTTGGGGTCTATGTTTGGTAGTAATTCTTTGCCGGATCAGACTTTCTAAGGTTATTATCAACACTGTAAATGCAGCTTATTTCCATCCATCCACCAGACAAGCTCTGACTGCCAGCACATACAAAAATGCAGACCTAGCTCTCTAGTCACTCTTTGTCCCATCCACTTGCTGCACTTCAGATGCTCTCTCTATCAAGCATGTGCATTCTGCATAGGACTTAGACCCAATAAAATGCAGCCATGTGAAGAAGGATTATTCTTCCACATGATCCTATGTTTAGACCAGAACCTTCTAATCTTCCATGAACCAAGGTTTCATTGAATGTTTATTTTTATCCGATTCCTAAATTCTACTCATGCAGCAAGTTGGAATGAGGAAAAACGTATAAAACGAAGACGCTAAATTGATTATTTCATAATTGACATTTGCTCAAAAAAATCTTTTTTTAAATAAGGGGGCTGCATAAGTCTACTGAAGCTGCGCACGAGTTATGCAGCAGGAGGTGTGAAAATGAGTTATACAGAATTGGGCCCTGAATTTTTAGCCAAATTTCTGCAACACTTTCAAGAGAAAGTTATACAGCACTCAGGCTATTGCAGAAATACTGGCACAAACAAAGAATTGAACTGAAAATCTCCTTAGCAAATTGAGGACTACAACAAAAAATATTCGCTCTAAATTCCTAATATCAGCCCTACAATATATATTAAGATAATGTAACAAAATACTTGAAGATCAATTCCTTCTTTGTGTAACTGCCACAACTCAAATACAGAGTCAAATGAAAATCTTAAATCCAAGAAAAGTTTCTCTCATTGTTTTTCACAGAAGCAGGATTGAGTTCTAATATTAATCCTTTGCATATATACGGTGTTTTAGACTTTCTACAGCTAATCTGCCACAACAGTTCAAGGAGCTTCACAGATGAGCGAAAAAGCATCAGTTCTCTAGAAATAATCTGTAATTCTTCTATTTTACCATTATAAAGTATAACTGTAAGATTTTTAGTTCACATGTTTCTGACTATAGCTTGAAGATCTCAAGCAACCAATTTTTCAAGGTACTTTTGTTTCCATTGTGAGCTTGTGAAAAGTACTAAAATAGAGCAATGCAGCTTGCTTAAAAAAATCATATGTGAAATTCTTGTTCCAGTGGCAAAATTCTTATTGACCTGAACAGGCCTGAAATTTTAGCTGCTCAGTGTATCTAACAAGAAAATACTATAGCTAATTGTGGGCTTAGGCATTTACAGAGAGATCACGAAAAATTATTCACAGAAGATCTGATCTAGATTTACCAAATGGTTCTCATCTAATAGCTAATAAATCAGATCGCAACTTCTTGTCTATTATGCAAATGAAGGAAGTTTGTACTGCTTTCACTATTTGAGAGGATTATATCATATATAGTAATATTCCTGCATAATTGTCAATGATTCACAGTTTAAGTGCCAAACTCAGAAAAGCCAGGGAAAAGGCAATCTTCCATGGAGATAAGGAGAAATAATATTTACTGAGGTCAGAATATGAAACCAGCACCTATATTACAGACACAGTAACCAGCACCTGTACAGCAGACACAGTAACATTTCAGGCAAGTTCTTTTTTTGATTATATTTTTTGGAAAACAGCTTCACAGAATGTCACCTACTTTTCTGGCAGCAACTGTAATAGGACTGGAGAGTGAGATAGATATTTCCCATTAAACTGCTTTTGAAAATTTCACTCTTCTGAGGAAAGCATGACTAGCTGAAGACCAGATTCAATGTGGCCTTTCCCAAGAGAGTTGTCACACTGATTTCAACAGATTTCCTGGAAGTGAGGCTAAAGGGATTTGGCCACACATTCGTGGGAAGTACTGTTAGATTTTTGTTCTAGTGGATGGTAATGCGTATTCAGAAGGGTAGCGCTGTGGAAAACTATTTGGGATTGTGACTTGCACAGCACAGAAAAAAGCAAATAGCTTGGCATAGCTACTCCCCAAGTTTTACAAAGAAACAGAAGGATCTGGCCATGGGTGCCAGCAATGACTGTGTGCGCTTTGGTTCCTTCTCAGAAACCCA